TTTTATTTTTTTAAATTATATAATTCAACTGATCTGCTCCGGTTACGTTCCCAGCTCCGGTTACGTTCCTAAGTAATATTTTTAAAACTTTTTTTTTATTAAACAAATCAGAGTCGTGTGAATCAGAAAAAACAGAATTATTCAATAGTATAAGGACTATTCTGTACTTTTTTCAAAAGTCTATACTTAAATGTTGTAAAAAGTTATAATCGAAAAACCATCTTTCGGAGTAAAGTCCGACTGCGCCGATTTCAATAACTTCGTACTTGATCAGAACTGGGTTCCAACAGAATTCCTACAAACTCATGAATGAAATAGCCATTGCATGGAATACTTACTTTTGTCAAAATCAAAGTAGAACTCTAGTTAAAAAATATATTGTGCTAAATTATTGCCATTTCTTAGTAAAATGTCGTTCTCCGGTACGTTGCCAAAATTATTCGATGGTACCCCGTGGATAAGCTGTTACTTAACCAAACATATATGTCTACTTAAGATGGATCATTTTATGTCTTATCTTGATACTGATTTTAAATAGATTCAATTTCAGAAACTTTCAGTCTAATGTATTACAATGTATTATGAATTCTCTACCTTTTCAATATATTGAAGCAAAATTAGATAGTTATAAAAAAGCAAGAATCAAAGGTCATCAGTACTTTTTAAAAGTAATGAGCTGCAAATAACTGGAGTTCCAGAAACATATCTATCTCCAAGTTTGCTTATTTGGAATCCAACTTCAATTAAGGAACTCCATTGTAAAGAGTGTAATATCGCTCCAACTTTGGAAATTCAGAAAGTAAAAGTATTAGAAATATCTTATAGAACTGTTTTTGTTAACATTTTTTGTCTTTTAGTGCAGTTGTTGTTGCTCCTTTCTACCAATTCTTGAGAAGGAAATAAAATGTCTTTCTGAACCTTGTTTGAATACAAAGGATTTTTTGGTTGATTTTAAAAAAGTATTCAAAAAAGTAAAACAAAACCCCCCCAAAAATAGATAGAAATCAAGATCAACCTTTTATTTCATTAACAAGATACTTTTTCAAAATCAACCAAAATTTCCTTTGTACAATTACAATATTGAGAGCCCTAAACATGTTGTATTTATGTCGTTTTGTTCCAATGAGGTTCAGAAAGATGTTTAATTTCATTCTTAGCATATGATACCAGGAACAAAAGAAGTGTTTGCTGTGTTTTCTAAAACAATATAGAGAAATGTATATAAATTTTTTTCAAATTATATTGATACCATTCAAAAGATGACCATTAAATTGATGATGTGTAATATTTTTAGAATTTTTTGATGACCGATTTTAGAGAAACGTGTGTTCAAAATGTTCACCATATTGATACCAATCCTCTACAGGTTCTCCTAAATATCCAGGACGTCAACTCTACAGTCTATATGGAAAGGTTAAACTTTTTGTGACTATGATAACAAAAAGATCAATCTTTATAATTTTCACATATTTTGTTTTACATTGTATATCAGATAGACATTGAAGTTCTGCCTAAATAAAATCTGGCTGTTCTTGAATTTAACCCTTTCACGACGATGGGCTCCATATGGAGCCCTATTATGTAATACCTTTCAGGACGATAGGCTCCTTTTGGCACCATAATTTTTATTTATATACATCGATTAAATGATGATATCTCCAGTTCTATTCAGTATTTTTACACCAAATTTTGACAAGTTGTTCTAATACGATAGTCCTTACTAAAAAATGTATTTCAGTGATAAAATTCAAGGTATAGGTCCCTGGGCATAGGTAATTTTCAGTTTTCCCCTAAAAGCTGCTCTTACTTATCCGTCACCAGGGCCATCATTTTCCTCTTATATTCACGTCGGGAAAGGGTTAAAGTGTTATGTAAACACGATAACTTAATGGCTATTAGATGACTCTTCCACCTACACCAGTCCAGTCTATACCATTAAACGTGCAATAAGAGAAGTTGATATAAAAGGTCAATATGATTATGTTTTAATTTTCTCTGTACACAACTTATATTTCCATGTTTTAAATCACATCTAAATGAGGTTTTATATAAGATTCATCCTCAGTGCTATCAACTCATGAAAGAGAATGGATCAAGATGAATCTTAAATGATTAAAATTTACTTTAAAATAGTTTACATACTTTAACATGGATATTTCAAAATGGGAACTGGGGACTGGGGTCCAACTTAGAAGATACATACAAATACATATACTAGTATACACAAACATAGATATCTCAAACTGGGAACTGGGGACTGGGGACCTTCTTAAAAGATACATACAGATACATACATATATATCACATATAGATACCTCAAACTGGGAACTGGGGACTGGGGACCAGCTTAGAAGATACATACAAATACATACATACATATTATATATAGCATATAGATATCTCAAACTGGGAACTGGGGACTGGGGACTGGGGACTTTCTTAAAAGATACATACAAATACATACATATTATATATAACAATATAGGTATCTCAAACTGGGAACTGGGGACTGGGGACCAGCTTAGAAGATATATACAAATACATACATATATAACATAACATACAATACACATATATCTCATAAATTAAAGCATATTCATAGATATCTCAATGTAGGATATTCATGAATTATTGTTATTTAATTAACATATTCTATGCCAACTAATAAATTAATTGTTATGTATCTACTGTAGTTCTATATATGTATCTAGTCTATCTAATTAACATATTCCATGATTGTATATATATCATACATATATATAAATACATATAATAATGTATGTATCTATCTAATTTGCATATTCTGTGCAGGTTAACATGGCCCATAAGCCGAGAATTTGAGTCAACACAGGGGCTTTATGCAAACTACCTTCATGTTAGGTTTAACATTGTACATTCCTAACCCACTCTATTCTTCTCAAACCAATATACATGGATGGTGCAAGCCTTGACCGATCTGTAAGCAACATTAGCTGTTAACTCAGGCTTATTGTGGAAACCATAATGGGACATGATGCTTGCCCAATGAAAAACATGATTAGAGTTGTTATTGACCATTAATTTGATTAATATGCTTCCAGGTTCCATCACCCAAGTGTCTTTGGCTTTACTTGTGGCTATGATCTGGGGACAGCTGTTTGCTTGATGAGATGTAATTGGGGGCCATGCAGAATCAGCTACTATGCATGATGTATCAGCCTCAACTACAAATCTACTGAACAGTGTAGAATCTCAACTTTCCAATTAATACGCACAAATGTCACATTTAATTTTTTGCAAGCTATTGAGCATAGAATAACTGAAACCTTGTAGATCAAGATGCACAAATGCACCCCTGCCCCGACAAATACATCATTTGGGATTTCAGTCAAGGAATAGAGTGGACTGCCTTTCAAGGAATGACCCAAATACATAATAGTTCTAACTTTTTTTACCATTTATTGACCAATCAATATCTTGTATTTGGATTGAAGAACTAACAATGAAAAGTATTATCCATTAAATAAAGAATTTGACTTTACACATTTAAGGAAATGTAAGTCCCAAAAAATGAAAATGTAATATGTTGAATGTATAAACAATAGGAGGATGTTTATATTCTTGTTCTTGGAATAGATTTCCTAGTTTTACTGTTATTGCAGTAAGTGTTCTTAAATGATTCAGAATGCATTTTATCATAAAGTGATATTTTTGTAAAAATCTTAGTGAATGAATGAACGCTGGACGTGATTTTATATTTCAAAGTGTGTTCCTTTATATTTATTGATAGAAGCTATGTTATCATTCCAATTCTCGAACATGTACATATATATTGTAGAATATAGGCTACAGGGTGAAATAAAAATGTTGTACCCAACCCCAGAAAAAGGGTAACTGAATGTTCATACTTTTGGCCCACCCTATACATGCATTAATACTGAGTTATTCAGTATTTATTCAGTAGTTATTCCCAAGTGCTTATCATGGTAAAGAAATTGTGAAAATAATCTAATAATTCATTGTAATTTAATAAAATGTTGTACAAATACAATTATTGAGATATGACTTTTATTATGTAAACATGGTAAACAACTTAGGTAATAAAGTTAATATATCAACTTTATAGAAATATTTTATGAGATGGGATATTTAAGTTATACAAGTACATTGTAGATCTGATTTTTGTTGAATTGCGATCCTATAGTGCAAAATAATATATAAGTACTGTCTTCAATTTACATGATGTGTGTTTTGTGTTTGTACATTCCATATTTAATTCTGTTCATATAAAGTGCAGTGTATATTGTAAAAGAGTCTTGTATTGTTGAAACTATTTTAAGAATTTATTTCCAACAGTGATCTCTGGTGCGGTATAAATAGTCGTTATGTAGTTTAGCTCATTTATAGACTAGGTGTAATCTTTGCTTCATTCTTTGGCTTCAGACAATCTAAATATTCATCACTACACATTATATTTTCTAATTGATTCTCACCTTTTACCTTTGACCCTTCATTTTGAAACCAGAACCCTTTAAAGGAGTCTTAAATGAGCTTTAATATTCTGACTACCTTGTACCTCACCAGTCAATGCTAAAATTGTTTTTTAAATTACTGTTTCCAACAATACCCCTTACTTTATATTTACTGTTCTGCATGCTGATGTGCATATGTCTTAATTTTAGTTTTCTTGATTAAGAAAATCATGATTTAAACAAAATTACATGTTTCGTGTTATGCATTATCACAATGTTTGGTGCATAGTTAATTTCTTACTGGTATCTTATTGGCTCCTGATAAAAAGATGTGTATGCAATGCATTACTTATGACAGTTCTCTGCCATTACATACTGTACTTCTACTTAATTTGGAGGATTTGTTGTTTTGAACATTTGGCAGAGTTTCAATATCACAATGCACCAATGGTACTAATTACATGGGAATAAAATTACCTGGAAATTTGGCAGACTATGAGAATTTGGCAGATGCGCCAAATTAAAATTGCTGCCAAATTAAGTAGAAGTACAGTAGGCGTATGAATTGCTAGTTATCAAAGAAGCATGCAGGGCCAATGAAGAACAAAAATACAAAACTTAACTAAATCTCATTGACAGAACTTACAGATATGAATTATAGAGAACAACATTTTTGGCACATTGAATTTTGGCTATTTACTTTTACTAGCAATATTGGCACCTTCATTGATAGTAACAGTTTTCTTTTTCAAGCTTGATTTTCTTGGGTACGATGCCAATGCTGATGGCGCCCTTGTTGGTGAATCAGTTAGTCGAGTGGGTGATCCTCTGACTGACTCATCTAAAGGGGCCTTGGTAGAGTCATGGGGTGATGTCAATTCACTATTTGATTCATCTTTTGTAATACAACTAGCGTCACCAGTAAGTAGTTTTTCAGGTGGTGGTTCATTCTGAGTAGGATTATCACTGCCAGCTATTGTAGCATCCACATGTTTAGGCTTCTTGTCGATACTTGTATTGTGAGTGTCTTCTTGACCTATTGTTGGCTTAACAATGTATGCCATGCCTTCAATAACCTTGAACTTGGGTTGATCAGTGGCTTGGATAGTTGTGTCTACAGCAACCGAAGAGTCAGTTAAAGTTAGGGTAGTACCATCAGATCTCCAAGAATAAGAGCTGAATGTAGAGTCACGTCCAGTTTTCTCACTTTTTGCATCATCATTTGTGTCAACAGCTAGCAAGTCATTTGTAGGTATCGGATCACTTTGAGTTGGTTCATCTTTGTCATTTGTAGCTTGGGGTGTTTGTCCACCATAGCATGATTCAATGGTTAGGATTTCACCAGGTTTTGTGAGGTGGTATGAATGTGTGCGGAACTCATTGATTTTCTCTTCGAGTGTCATTGTGTTATCTCTGCTTAGGATATCATAAGTGAGATGTTTAAATGGGCCAGTACCATTAGATGGATCAGTGGTTGGATTCTTCAGATGCTTTGGAAGGGGCTGAACAATGTCAGTGTCTCTGTTTGATGGGGGCCATTTGTGAACCAAGCAGCTTTCACGAAATTTAGGTACACACCAGTAGGTCATATGAATGTTAAGGTTCAGTCCATACGGCCACACCGTATCATGTTTGAGCATCATGTCATTCTCCAGTATATCAAGTTCATGTGGTTCAGTGGCATTAACAAAGCAGAAATACCACTCATCTGATGTAGTACATAGCAACAGGGTTGCCAGGTGACAATAATCGAGCCTTCCGATGAGGCAATCAGAGATCAAGACGCGACAGAACTCCAGGATATTATCAGTTTGGCCGACATAACGGAAGTATGGGATTTTCTTATGTTGGAAGCAGAAAACACCACTTTCAGCTATTCTATCAAACAGTGGTGTGCCAGTAGGGTACCATTCCTCTGCCTTCTCGAGCAGTAGTTCACGGAAAATTTTCAGATCAAGTAAACCAGGGTTAAACTTATGGAATGCTACATCCTCACTATGGCCCCACCAACCACTACCAAATCTCATATTTTTCCTGAATGTGTTATAGCTCTCTGGATCTTTAGAGGTAAAAGATTTTTGGTGGAATTCATAGATTTTCTCAAGCTTTTCAGAGTCATTTTCCATAAATGCTACATCCCGTGATTTTATCTCTCTTACCAGATCATACATGGTTTTGACTTCTCTGTCATACCCCTGGAGGCCCCTTGGTATCCCACGTAGGATGAACTTAGCAAATACTGGATAGTCAATGTCTTGTAGGGTCTTAAGAATGGAAGCAGTGAGTGGGGTGAGATCTGCATTAGATGCTCTTGATATAGGTCTATCATCAGGACCAGATGTCATTGGAGGCCATCGATGTGACACACAAGATGTCATCAAATCATTCATTATCTCCTTTTGGATGACTAACTCCATATTGGCTCCATATGGCCACAAAGTGTTATACTCAAGGATTGTGTCATTCAGGATTACATTGTGACGGTCAGTGTCACCTATTGGCAAAAAGAAAAACTCCCAATCTGTTGCCTTGGTGATCAGTAACAAAGTTTCAAATATTTGGTATTCTAGATTTCCAGAAAGTGCACCATTGATATGATTTTGGCATGTCTCAAGAATGTTATTCCTGGCGCATCCTGCAAACCTTACGTATGGAATATGTTTATGTTGAAAGTAATATACTCCTGGAGTTTCAATTTTAGTCCCAAATTCTAAGGATCGATCCTTAACATTGTACCATTGCATGGTTTTAAATACAAGAATTTTCTTAAATGTGTCTAAACGTGTTAAGGACCCTCTCCCTTCAAACACAGTTTTTGGATTAGCACCCCACCAGCGACTATTCAATTTTGCATGCTTCATATGAGCTACGAGTTCAGTACCCTGTTTTCTGTTCAGAATCTTTTTATGAAGTCTGTGGATCTCCTCAATAGTTTTCCATTCATCATTTTCAAATGACTCGATGTGTGACATCACTTGCCTTGCCAAGTCCTGGAGGGAAGCCTCATCATCAGTCAGTGAAGTCTCATCTTGGCCAAAAAGCATCAATTTACTCGAGTGCCCAAAATCACTGAACACAGATCTGCCTGAATGAGGACGTGAAATTGAGGAATTGGGTCGAGGAGATTTGGGCTCGGGTAAAGAGGTCCTAGATGATGATCGTGGAGGTATTGAGATGTCAGCAGCCATTTCTAACTTTAATTTGAATCAATAATCTGAGGATATTTCCTTCTGTTCAATCGTCATCAATATTAAATGTATTTACAATATTAAAGTCATATTCAACATCACCATTTTTCATGTTCTATAGTTTAAGTCCATCCAAGCGTACACATTTTGTACATTTCTTTGACTGACATTCACCAAGGCGATGGTCTGTTTCTGCAGTTGTTATGGTAACACATATGTTTGTATTTACCTGGAATTAAACAGATTTCTAGTATATTTCATACAGTGAGACAGTTCCTTTAAATGTTTAGTTCATAGTGACTTAAATAAATTACAAAATAATACTAGTATAAACTAAAAGATCTACTGTAAGTAGCATTTGTGTGCTTTAATAACCTTTATCAATCATCTTGATTTGTAAAAAGTATTTAATGAATAAAGTACACATACAGGAAAATAATTTATTTCAATACACATTCAAACAAGGTATAATGTTGACAACTCACTGTTCCATACTTCAATTTTCTAGTACAATCACAACACTATTAGATAGTAAATAATGATACCGATGTTTTGTATTTGTATTATTACCATGACATGTTATCAGTTCATCTTAAAAAATCTTGTTGTTGAATTTCAAAAAGCACATTGAAATATACATGACATTATAAAGGTGAACTTTTCTATATTTTTCATCAATAACATTTCCATTGATGTTTTACTTACCTTTATAATTAACTAATTGCAATTTCCTTTGGCCATTTCTCTCTATCGCTGTATATAGCAACCAGTAGAAGTCTGAAATGCTTTACCTCCTAATAACACAAAATTGACTGTATATTAATCAATACAAGGTGAACCTCTACCTCTTAACTCTATTGACTAAATAGAACCATCAAATATTGGTCCTATATGACTAACAATACATTCTCTCTGTGTAAATTTACCAAGTATTTTTGTTTGCCGATAAATCTGATGGTTTAAAATTGATTGTTCCGAGAGCTATTGACACAACAAAAAGATCAGAGTAATCTTAAAAGAATTCAAAATTGTTTTGTGAAGTAATCTTTTGTTAATATGTAATACATTTATGGATAACAACTACATCTAAAAGTTAATCTTTAATAGTTTAAAGGCTTAGTCTAACATACACTGTAGGGAGATATTATAGCTACAATAATCTCAATTTGACTTCACTGCCATCTTTAGATTGGCATAAAAAGTTAAATGACCAATATGGTTTAAGGATTTAAGTCCTGTACTCAGTGCAATGTGGATGACCAATCCTTGAAGTTGTTAATTTCCAAAATTTGCACAAGATGCTTGCATCAAGTGTTAATTTTAGAAAACAATGCCTGAAAGGAATGGTCATTCCACAATGCATTGTGTCTTGGGCTTTAATTCATTTCAAAATAGTTCCTACAATATCACTTAAAAGATATGAAATGACTTGAAGAATATATTTTCAAGGTAACCTTTTGCAAGGGTCACTTTTGTTTGTGTCAGTCAGTATCATAGATTGTCACAATGACAACAATGTAACACTTAAAGCACGTAGATTCTTATTCCCTATGATACCATTTATAGAATTTTACTCAAACATACACTCATCAGTTTATCGGTTTCATTAGTTTCAAGGCCAGTTTCAATAGAATCTAGAATGAGTGACCTAAGATAAATTGTTGGTTATATTACGGAATGCAGTTATGGGAAATAGCTTGTTCTGATTGGCTGGTATTGGACACACCTTGCTTAGCTATGTGTGAATTCAGGTTTAACTTAGTTTAACTTGAATTACTATGGTAAACTATCTAGTAGTTATAGCAGAATCAGATGATGGACTTTCAATTGTTGCTCCTTGAGCAGAGGTCCTAGACACATGAGGCATACATTTTGAGCCATTTGACAATTGAATTTGAGTCATCACCAGGACACAGACAAACCATGGCTTTTCAACTAGAGAATTGAAAGCCCATGGACAAACTAACAAATGAATGGAAGAACTGATGGAAAGATGAACCAGAACAACGGCAACGCCAAAGCGTAGCGAATCCCATCGAACAGAAATAGCTGGCATTTTTACAAACGAAATACAGGGTGTCCCGAAAGTATAGCAAATATCATAAAATAACACACATAAGAAAGTTGTCATCAGAAGAAGTAATATGCTTTTTTATAGTATTCACATGGCAAATATGAACAAAATCGCTCCACTACTTTTCGAGTTATAGTAAAATACTTTAAAATGGTGGCCATTTTTCAAAATGGCCGCCTTCTACCAAAAGTGTCATTAGACAGTGTGCCATGCTTATATTATTCACATACCAAATATGAACAAAATCGCTGCACTACTTTTCGAGTTATAGTAAAATACGTTAGAATGGCGGCCATTTTTCAAAATGGCCGCCTTCTACCAAAAATGTCATTAGACAGTGTGCCATGCTTATAGTATTCACAAACCAAATATGAACAAAATCGCTCCACTACTTTTCGAGTTAAAGTAAAATATGTTAAAATGGCGGCCATTTTTCAAAATGGCGGCCAATTTTCAAAATGGCCTCCTCCTACAAAAAGTGTCATTAGACAGTGAGCCATGCTTATAGTATTCACATACCAAATATGAACAAAATCGCTCCAATGCTTCTTGAGTTACAGCAAAAATCGTAAAATAACGTGTAAAGGCCGCCATTTTTCAAGATGGCTGCCATGTGCTATTTTAATATCTACATTTCTAGCTTTATCAATGTCCTATATAATTTTTTTACATTTAAAACATATTGCTATCACAGTTTTACATATTGCACCTAAATTACTGTAAAATCAGCACTAAAATGGCCGCCATTTTGAAATGAGCGGCCATTTTGAAAATCGGCTTTTGAGCAGAACTTCTATCCCCATAGGGTATATGTGTACAAAATATGAACAAAATCGGGCCTACGGTATTTGAGTTATTGCCCGGACGGACAGACGGACGGACGGACGTACGTACGTACGTACGGACGTACGGACGGCCGTACGTACGGGCGGACGGAGGCGTTCCCTATATCCCTCCGAACTTCGTTCAATGGGATAATTAGTAGATTTGATTACCAATGCTTGCTGCTATTGTAATCATTAATGCAATTGTATTTTGTATTGGATTTGGATTGATGGGGGTGGACCTTATGGTGTTTCATTACAAACACATCACATGTTCATGTCCCTGAGTCACCTCCAGTTGAATATAACACATTATTATATCACTATCTAGCTAGCGACGGTATGATTGGTCAAAACCGGGTCACATGTCGTGGGATATCTGGCGATATTCAATGGCAATACTAATCAGATAAGACAACCGTGAGATATCTAGCGATATCCCACGCTCCCGGGAATTTTCAAAGAATTTGTTTTCGTTCAGTGTAAATAATTAAGATCAATGTAAGTCAAAATGGCAGACGAACCGAGTAGATTTAATGTATTTCAATGTTAACCTATGACTTAATAATATTAGGGATGTTTAGCTAGACAGTGATATAATAAAACAAATATTTCACTCTATTTTCGGTGAATACCTGTAGCACTTTCACAAGGTGATATTCCACTTGCCCTTCGGGCTTCGTGGAATATCACTTGTGAAAGATGTACAGGTATTCACCTCAATAGAGTGAAATATTTGTTCATTATTAAATGTAAGTCTAAAATAAACATTTGAATATTCATTTCATCTATGTCAATTTTATTATTAATATCAATTAAATATACAAAATAAAAACATGATATTTGGCCAAATAATTTCTCAAAAATCTGTCATTATGTTACAATTACCTTCTTATTTTGAACATAGACATGTACATTGAAGTCAAATCAAAAATTAGGCCTATTACTTTTAAGATATGTTGCACTGTGCATTGGAATCATTTGATATAATAATACAGTAGTATATGATGCACATGATGCACATGTGACAAGACATTGCAGATTTCCAGTTCTCTGTTGGACCATTCATAATCTTCAATATATATTGTTCAATCAAGATGGAGACTTTACGACACCAACCAAAGCAGCACGAATGGTACGCTCATGTAATCTGTAACCAACTTTAGTTACAACAGCTATAGTATTGTCCTCCTTTCCCTCCATAGGTGTCTGAAACAATGCCTCATGGAAGTTTGGATCAAATACTTCACCAACGTCAGGGTTAATCATTATTAAGTTATGTTTGTTAAACACTTTTTGTAATTGTGTCTCCGTCATAGTTAGTCCTTCATGCATTGACTTCAGGTAGGGGTCACCAGTTAGGGCATCTGGGGGAACACTTTCCGTGGCTTTACCAAGAATATCAGCCACCTCAAGTAAGTCCTTACAGAATCCTTGGATTCCAAAGATTTTTGCATCATCAACCTGTTTCTTCATCCTTGTTCGAACATTTTCTGTTTCTGCTAGTGATCTTTTGTATTTATCCTGGAAAGTATATAAGGAATGCTTTTAGTTCTATAACTACTACATATATTGCTACCAAATATGTTACAACTATATGGTCAGGTCAAATTCAGTATATGTGCAAGTAAATATCATAAGAAAATGAAAACTGATGAGTAATTTCATTGTTAATGTTTATTTCAAACTTGTCAATTATTACCAGTTTTGAATGGGCTTTACAATGGTATGAAGAATATAACATATAGAAAATGACGTCCTTGGCTAAATATGAAAATGTATTACACTGTAAAATAGCAAAGTGCAATTTATGAAGTAATTTAAAGGAAAAGTCACATTAGTAAGTTTGTAGGACAACATTTTTAACCATTGCTAACTTTTTTGAATTTTCATCTCATTTTTTCAAATTTCCACCAGGTATTCACAATATTTATGCCATGTACCTCCAAGAGTTTAGTAATATCATACAAAATTCTGAAAATGTTATGGCTGATAAAGGAGCATGCACCTTTTTTCTTTACAGAGGGTATATCTATGCAGTTTGAAGGAAAATAATTTGGGCGCACATAAAAAACTATAATTAGTAATAATAAGAAAAGATATTCCAACACCTTTTGGACTTGATAACCAAAGTTCTGTTAGATTGCACAGCATTATCCAAAAGCATTATTTACCTGAACATCAGCTATCTGGTCTAATAGTTTCTGTTTTTCTTCTCGTAAACTCTTTTCTATATCTGATATTTCAGGTTTTTCTTCAGGTTTATCAGTTTTCTCCTCTTTAGAATCAACATTTTCTTCTGTAGCAGTTGTTGACCAATGTCTGCTTTGTTGAGGCGATCTGAAGTCATAAATCTGGCAATTAAATAATTCATTTAGGCTATTTGCACTTAGTTAAAATAGGAATTATTAAAATAATGATATTCTGACAAGCTCACCGGAGCAATGACCAAAAGAGTCCAACTGAATTTCTGAGTCAGGAATCATATTTATTCCTTCAACTTTCACGCTTGATCATTAAGCAACTGAAGCTATCTTTTAAAAAAATGTTTCTCTTATATACATCCCTTATTTTATTTTCTGAAAATATACCTGATCAAATAATTATCAAAGATTTTAAATGCAGAAATATCTAAATTTTATAGGAATTGAAAAAGGGACTCCATCCTTAATTTTTTAGCCGATAAGACAACGAATGATATAAGATTTTAATGTTATTTAGAAAATCAGTCTCAACTCATCTTTATTCTGAGTCACAGGCTATGCAAGTTGAGCAGTGGTTTGTATATTTAATACTCCTACACATCAATTCAAATGTATAGAAGTCATTATCAAATCTCACCCAGAAAAAAGCTGCACTCAAGTTCACTGATTGGTGTATCACTTTTTATGCATATTATATATCAGCAACATATCTTTTTGCAACATACTTAATTGAAGTTGATTATTGTTATCATCGAGTTCTTTTGTCAATTTCATAAGAAGTAGACATTTAGAAAAACATATTTATTTCACAATTAAAGGCCAACGTTGCGTATTTTCAACATTTTTTGGGTAAAATAAAGACTTACATTTGAATTTCATTGTATATCTTTCATTTGACACCAACAACAGCTCAAACAGACCACATCAAAGCTTACAATAAATTATCAAAAAATATTTTCGATCTGCCAAGCCTTTACATATCAGGTTTTTATTAATGTCATTGAAAGATGGCAATATTGTTTGTATTACATGATACATTCATTTTCATATAAGTGTCACCATATTTAGATCAACAGTAATTTAAAACATGCACTTTGTTTAACATTTAAGAGTCGCAAAATTCCAAGAAAATTCCCCGGAATTTCAATGTTGACAATATTTTCATCCAGTACTGGGCGATAATAGGTAAAATAGTGACATTTCGAGATGAGAAAAAGAGAAATTAGATGAAAGATCGTAATTATGGTTTTAAAATGAACATTCTAACGAAATGGTAATTAGAAGCCAAAATTATCAGGCGAAGGAACAACCATGACTGATAGCGAAGTCAAAAGAGTGATCTTGTATGACAAATCAACAGAGGGGGAGATTTCCCAAAGAAGCTTTTTATATTGGCAGGCCTCATTTGCCATTGACATGAATTAGTTGAAATGAAATTAATTAATGTTCCCTGTTGTTTTATGAGTATTCTCTACAAGTTTGGATCGAGTAACTTCGATAGTATTACCGTAGTTTTGGCTTATGGGCCATGTAAACCAGCATAGAATATGCAAATTAGATAGATACATAATATCTATGTATTCATGCATATATATATTATATGCCAGCACAGAATATGCAAATTAGATAGATACATACATTATTATATGTATTCATATATATGTATGATATATACAAGCATGGAATATGTTAATTAGATAGACTAGATACATATATAGAACTAGATACAGAACAATTATTTATTAGTTGGCATAGCATATGTTAATTAAATAACAATAATTCATGAATATCTGATATATCTATGAATATGCTTTAATTTATGAGATATATGTGTATTGTATACATGTTATATATGTATGTATTTGTATATATCTTCTAAGCTGGTCCCCAGTCCCCAGTTCCCAGTTTGAGATATCTATATTGTTATATATAATATGTATGTATTTGTATGTATCTTTTAAGAAGGTCCCCAGTCCCCAGTTCCCAGTTTGAGATATTTATATGCTATATATAATATGTATGTATGTATTTGTATGTATCTTCTGAGCTGGTCCCCAGTCCCCAGTTCCCAGTTTGAGATATCTATATGCTATATATATATGTATGTATTTGTATGTATCTTTTAAGAAGGTCCCCAGTCCCCAGTTCCCAGTTTGAGATATCTATGTTTGTGTATATATGTATTTGTATGTATCTTCTAAGCTGGTCCCCAGTCCCCAGTTCCCATTTTGAGATATCTATGTCATATGTATTTATGTATCTTCTAAGCTGGTCCCCAGTCCCCAGTTCCCAGTTTGAGATATCTATATGTAGGTTTTTGTATTAAACATTGACAGACTATGAAATGAATATAACATCGTAACAAAAAAGTTTGGGATATCAAAAAAGTAAAGAAAATCGATAATTTCCGGCGCGCTGATTGGTTGTATGCAAATGAGTCAAATCAATGATGTCAATGCCTGAAAGTTTTGAAGAATTAGTACAGCCAGCATAGGAATATTTTGAATTAACTGCAATAAAAAGGATTCTATTTGCCCAATGCACTAATTATTTTTAGTCAAATATGAAATATGGACGGGGCACTTTCATTCCGAATCTTATGTAATTTAATTTAATCTTTTTTTGACAGAGCTATTGTTTATTAAGACTTCTCAGATCAGCCTCACATACCCGGGCTCATATGTCGTAGTAAGAAATTCCATCAGAAATTCACCATGAGTAACATTCGCACAAAGCGTTACCTTTTGGTACTTATTCGCCATCAGCGATGTCAATAATGATCAGCAATGTCAACATATCATCAATAAACATTGTATGATATACGCTCTTTCTCTGAAATCTTCCCAGTGATCATTATTCAAAACCGATCATCACATAACTAATTCATCTTATGAAAAGTGAGGTTTTACAAGTGACGTTTTCAGGACACCCTGCATATCCAGTTTTTTTTTTATTAAGCGTTCTCATTCTCATTATTTTCAAGAAATCCATCATCATTTTGGTTAAAAAAAATTATAGGGTCTGCTGGATCTATTTTGACAGTTTTGCTTTAGCAAGATACTTTTACAAATTGACTGTTTCTACACTGAATAATATATTAACTTCTCTTATTACATGTTTAATGGTATAGACTGGACTCATGTAGGTGGAAGAGTCATCTAATAGTCATTAAGTTATCATCTTTACATAACACTTTAAAATCCAAGAACAGCCAGATTTTATTTAGGCAGAACTTCAATGTCTATCTGATATATAACAAGATATGTGAAAATTAGAAAGATTGACCTTTTTGTTATCCTAGTCACAAGTTTAACCTTTCCATTTAGACTGAACAGTTGACATCCTGGATATTTAGGAGAACCTGTAAAGGATTGGTATTGATATGGTGAACTTTTTGAACACACTTTTCTCTTAAATCAGTCATCAAAAATTTCTAAAAATTACATATTGTCAATTTAATGGTCATCTTTTGAGTGGTAACAATAAAATTTGAAAAAATGTATATACTTTTCTCTATATTGTTTTAGAAAACACATCAAACACTTCTTTTGCTTCTGGTATCATATGCTCAGAATGAAATGAAACATCTTTCCGAACCTGTTTTGAACAAAACGACATATACACAACATGTTTAAAGGGTGACGATAAGCATCCCGTATAAAAACAATATGGCGGCTCCAGGCGAATCAACTGGATCAGTCCATTTTTAAGAAATAAGGGGAGTTCTGTAAAATCCAGTTTATTGAAATTGTCTTTGAGATAAAGTAATCCGTTTATAATGGTTTTGAAAACGTTATCCATAGAGTGATTGCGTTCAAACAGTACATGTACAACAGCCAATACAAATCCTTGTATTAGAACTGCTTTGTTTCATTTGTAGGATATTTCATATGCCAAGCTGTGTGCTATTACGTTATGGGGAAATGTAGATGCCAATTTTTCCTTATTATACACAAATAGAAGATCCTGAAACTTCACCCATAAATTTGGAATTGATTTGACAAAATAAAAATCACCCTTTTATAAATGTGTGACGATCTATAATATACTTAGGCTATATAACAGTTAGAGGTGTTGACACAACGACATCGAACCTGTGAACCCTTGAGTATTATTCCGGGATCGGGCCTTTTATACTAAACGGTGAGCAACACCAGAAACGAGCGTTCGATTTGCTAAACGATATGCGTCACCCTTTAAGTCTCTCAATATTGTAATTGTTCAAAGGAAATTTTGGTTGATTTTAAAAAAGTGTTGATGAAATAAAAGGTTTATCTTGATTTTTATCTATTTTTGAGGGGTTTTGTTTACTTTTTTTCTAATTTTGCTTCAATATATTGAAAAGGTAGAGAATTCATAATACATTGAAATACATTAGACTGATAGCTTCTGAAATTGACTCTCTATTTAAAATCAGTATCAAGATATGATCCATCTTAAGTAGACACATACATGTATGTTTGGATAACTAACAGCTTATCAGCTTTATAGTGCTTCATATAACTGTATAATTCTTTTCCAATCTGGAGACAGATTATTTAAGTTATGTAAGTTATGGGTTTGTCTCATTACTGTAGTCTTGACTGGATTAACTGTTTTCCTCTAGAAGATAGGTTTCAGGCTGATTCAATATATAATTCAAAGACAATTTTAAAGAGTTCTTAAAAGTTAAAGTTCTGTCAAGTCTGGAGTAAAGTTAAAATTTCTATAATGAAATATGAAGTATAAAATATCTACATTGGAATCACTTATATTTTTAGACATACTATGACCATTGCCGCTTACCATTTTTGACCTATATACCTATCATAGGCGTAGCCAGGAGGTAGGGGCGATGACCAATGAAAATAAGAGCTTTAAAATGCATTTTGTTTGAAGCTTCTAGCTAATAGCAAAAATTTGGCGATTGGGACCCCCCCCCCTGGTCTGCTGGTTGCGCTAATGTCTTTTATTTCCACATATAGGGTAACTCAGTGAACTTAAATATACAAGTTTAATGTTAAACGTTGCTCTAAAGTTTGTGTAACTGATATCTACCTGGTGTGCTCATGTGGCCAGTATTAGATCAGATAGAGAAAAAATATAACACCTTCATTATGAACTAGCAGCTCATACCCAAACAGAAGAATAAAAATC